CCTCCTGATGTCTAGTCTGAATCTACCCTCTGCCAGCTTGTGACCATTATTTCTAGTCACTCCTGGTAGTGCTCGGGGGAACAGGGACTCCCCCAATACCTGCTGGTCCCCTCTGACTAGTTTGTAACAGGCCACTAGATCCCCCTTCAGCCTTCTCTTGTAGAGGCTGAACAGATTCAGATCCCTTAACCTCTCCTCGTAGGGCCTGCCCTGCTGCCCCCAGATCATGCGGGTGGCTCTCTTCTGGACCCTCTCCATGTTGTCCACATCCCTCCTGAAGTGCAGCGCCCAGAATTGGACACAGTACTCCAACTGCGGCCTGACCAGTGCCGCAGAGGGGGAGAATCACCTCCTTGGATCTGTTTGAGATGCATCTGTGGATGCATGACAAGGTGTGGTTGGCCTTCCTGACCACGTCCCCACACTGTCGGCCCATGTTCATTTTGGCATCAATAATGACTCCAAGATCCTTCTCTGCCTCTGCACTGACAAGAAGGGAGTTCCCCAGCCTGTAGGTATGCTGCTGGTTCTTCCTCCCCAGGTGCAGTACCTTACGCTTGTCAGTGTTGAAACCCATCCTGTTCTCATCCACCCACCCCTGTAACCTGTATAAGTCTGATTGCAGCCTATTCCTCCCTTGTGGTGTGCCCACTTCTCCCCACATCTTAGTGTCATCTGCGAATTTGAACAGGGTACTTTTTACACCCTCATCCAAGTCGCTGATGAAGATGTTGAACAGCGCGGGCCCAAGGACCAAGCCCTGGGGGACCCACATCCCTCCAGGTCGAAAATGACCCATCTACCACCACTCTCTGGGTGCGGCCCTCCATCCAACTAGTGACCCATTTGACTGTGTAGGTGTCGACGCCACAGTCCCCTAGTTTTTTAATGAGAATGGGGTGAGAGTGTTGAAAGCCTTCCTAAAATTGATTCAGAGAGCTTCAAATCGATTTGGACCTTTTTATTGGTCCCCTTATTTGATTCAGATTTGGAGATTAAGCCACTGAATTGGGCCAAATCTCCTCTGAATCGAATCAGCTCCCAAAGCTTTGCACAGACCTAATAGTGGGCTATATTTTCAAAGGACTACCTGCTGAATTGGGCAGAGCCAAATTGAGCCAGTGCAAAGGTGAATACATGAGTGCAAACTAGGAGTTATGCAGATGCACATAGAAGTACTGTGTTTTTTTACCTTTATCCTGTGGAAGAAGGAAAATGAATGTACATACCCTTCCCCCAACCCCCATCACAAACTGAACACATACAGAATGCTATTTTACTTTATACAACCAAGTGGCAGCTTTTCAGCTATGGTTAGAGTGTTGTTCAGGGAAACATGAGGTACAGGTTCTGGCCCACTTTGGATGAAGGGGACCTAGATCCAGGGTCTCCTGTTTACTGGGAAAGTGCCCTAATTTCTCAGCTACTTGGGGCAAAAATTGGGAGGGCCCTCCTCCCCTACCAGAATATCAGAGCTTGTCCTGGCATGCATGTGCAGAAAGCTGCTTATCTGCTCAGCCAGAGCACAGAGGATTGTGCATGCTCTGCAGCTGGGTAGATTTATCTGCCTCCATGCTACTTCTACAGGGAGCAGGATCACAACCTGTGTCTAAGTGACAGAAGTGGTAGTTATGTTGCTAAAATATTGCCCTGGGCCTGAAAAAGAAATAGGTTTCTAACTGTAACTTGAAAAACAGTGTTTCACTAGAAAAATTGTAGTCGCTTCTATTCATTGACTGAAACTTGGTTCAGCCTCGTAGTTCTAAATGCAATAGCACTATATTTAATATGTGGCAGTAGGCAACTAAGTTATAACATTTGGTTGCTTTCTTGAAGTGTAGACACTAGAAAAACTCTTAGATTTACTTTTTATATTTTATGGGATGGAGTGAGCGCTGAAAAAATATCTTGAGGTTTCTTTTTCTAAATTCACCATCATTCCCCACTTTAATTAAAGAGCTCTAAAGCAACCTGTAAACCATCCCATTAGTGATTAAATCCTTGCATCACATCTTGATGAGCCAGTTGTTCTAGCTGCATTTGAGACTAATTCAGTCACTCTCCCTGATTGGTTCTGGCTCTTAAGGGACTGCACTGGGCGCTTCCTGTCTATAGGCAGCTCCTGGCTTCTTTGTATTTCCTCATCTTGGGTCCTACTCCCTGCCCTGCTCTGACTCTCAACCCTGGGCTTCCATCTCTGGGCGTTAACCCTTGTTTGACATCTCAATTATTGACTTCTGACACCTAACTTCATCCTGGTATCTTGGGTCTTCTTTTTGCTTCTGGCATTCAAATTAATGTCCCTAGTTGTTGACTTCCTAAATCCTGATAAGTGCCAGGTATCCTGTTTCCTGTTCCTGAACTGCAACCTGGCATCCCAGCAACCAACCAGGTCCCATGGCCCTAGCCAGTGGGCCAACCTTCCCTCATCAACATTGATGTAGCTTAGCTCTCAATAGAGTTTACAAATCTAGTGGTGGGTAGATGGAAATACAGTCATTATTCCTCACATGAACATTTTCATTGTATCCCTGTAGATCAAAAATACTCTGAAGGAGGACATTTGTATAGATCAAGGCCCTGTCCCTGGAAATACTCCAATAATGTATGGATGCCATGGATACTCACCACAGGTACTGGAAATAACCTACTGAATGTCTAGATGAAACATCCACCCTTTCCTTAGGCAGTGAAATAGACTCCTGAAAATTGTTCTCTTCATGCTGTCAAACAGGGAAGTTAAAACATTTTTTCATGAGGGAATCAAGTAGGGGCGTGTGTAGACAAAATGGGGGCCCTAAATTGAAACGGTGCGTTTTAAAAAACTTCCATGTCATGCACACACCCTGCTGACTTAACTGCCTCTCCGGTGGGGAGGGAAGGTTTGCTGCTGGCCGGCAGAGTGGTCCCTGGGCTGTGGGGGGGAGCTGGTGCTTCCCTCCATGGCAGTGGTGGCCTCCCCCACCCCGGCAGCACCTGCCCATAGGCACCCAGCTCAGGCGGGTCCTGGGGGCTCTGCAGCTGCAGAGGGAAGCACCGGGCCCCCACACAGCTCAGGGAGGCCCCGGGGGATGCGGGGGGAATATCAGGCTTGCCACTTTTCCTGGACAGAGCAGCTTTCCTGGGCTGGTATCAGACTGCCTGTAGGGCTTCCTGCAGAGCCTTGGAGCTGCACGGAGCCCAGTGCTTCGCTCTGTAGCTGTAGGGGCAGCAAGATAAAATTCCTCAAAGGAGTTTTAGTTTGCTGCGCCCCAAGTCATTTAAGTCACATTACACTGCTGAATTTCCTCAAGCTGCTGGAATTAATGCACAATACGCTGCTGAGCTGGTCAAACACTGACATCATTAAAGTGGTGCAAAAGCATTTAGCCCACTTTAAGGTGTCATGCACACACGCCTCTTGTTTCATCTACACATGGCTTAATAAAATACTAAAATTCCTGCCTCAGAACTGATGGGTTCCAAGAGGTCTAAGTACATTAAGTCTGGGTTCTTGGTTCAGACCAAGGGATGAGGAAGTGAACCTGCTTCCCAAAAATAAATGTCAGGTTGAGAATGCTTGGTTTTGTTGGCAATCTTGGAAGAGAGGCCAGGGGCTGGATGGGCTGCAAACAGAACACCCTTTTGCTCCTTTTCCTTTCCTCCCTGTAGGTCTGAAATAGATTATTACAGTTCAGTTGTTAGTATCTACCAGTTTCTCATGGACAGAGGAGAAGAACAATATTTCAGGGACTTGGTATGTTTATACTGTGGCAGCAGAGTATCCCATCCAAGGCTCCCGCAGAGCATGCTTCTTCTACCCGCTCCCACTTAAACAAACTATACCTAGAAACATAACAGTGGAACTGTTCCAGGATCATCCTAAATTATTCCCTCAGGCATGTTGAAGACCAAGGTCTTGAGAGTGATGAAAGAGAGATGACCCATAGCACCTTGAGCATGTGTTTCTCGATTTGAGGCATGCCTAGAGGAGCAGGTGTTCCCTTGCTTGGCAATGTCCTGGTTGTGGGCATCCTACTGCTGCCATGTTAATACACCCTCTGGATCAAATTCATCCTGATTTAACTTCAGCAATACCACTGGGTTTGGCTTCATGTATCAAACCCAAGTTGGTTTTACAAATATCTACCCATCCTCCTTTGATGAGGCTTCATATTTGTCTAAATTCACCTAATGCAATGTAACATTCCCTTTCAGCATGTGTTTTATCACAGCACAGGAGAAATATATGTAGGGGGCTTAAAAGCACGACGCAATGCAGTTGATCGATGCCTATCTGACCCTGGCACAGGCGACTTGCCATTTTTAGACCAATGTGATGAAGCGATTAATAAAGGACTGAATATGTACTGGGATTTTGAGCAGGTAAGTACATTGTCATGTCCCTTCAAATTCATCCTAAAAGATCCTAAAATATTTTGTACATGAGGGCAAATTTGCATATGTGGGAACCTCAGGTACAGGATTTATACATGTAGTCCAGGGAGCCATGATGAAGTTAGTGGGATCTTCCAGTGCTCAGAATCTCAAAGAAAATCAGGCCTTTCATGGGTCAGAACCAGGCTACCTCAGACTCTGCTTTCTTTGCTATTATCCCCATGAGGTACTTATGCTCCTCAGGGCAAATGCTGCAAGATAAACCCTGACAGAGCCTATAACCTAAGCTCTGATTATAATTCAATGGGAACAGGACATCCAGGGGACATCCACAGTAGCAATGCTTATAGACCACAGTGATAGTATTTACCACAGTAATATGACCACTCTGGATTCAGAGCCTTCTCCTGTTTCTTTGTCATATGGTCAGAGGCTGTAACAGGTCGCCCTCCCCAGCACCATCTTCCCTGTTAATCTGCGCCTTACGTGGGGCGCCCTTGGAGTCTGCTTTGGAGCTCTTATGTCCCGCCCTCTACTCATCTGCCATGTCTTGATGGAAATTATTGTTGATGTTCTTGCGAGCGGGAGACTGCCTATTGTATTTTGCATGTTGGGGTCTTTTGCCTACACGGGCCTGACCCCTGTATTTCTCTAGCTAGGCCTCCCTGTCCAAAACCTACCAAGCAGTGTTTGACTCCGAGGCTCTAGCCTTTTCTGGTGTCGGGTCTTGTTACAATTTGACCCCCTGGTCCTCAGGCTCTCCGCAGCCGTCTTGCACTGTGCCCTTTCTGGTGCTTGGGCTCTCCGCAGCCCTGTCTTACTCTGCACCTCCTCTGGCGCCAGGGTCGGTGCACCCCAAAATGCTGCACCCCCTCTGGTGCTGGGGTTGGTGCACCCCAAAATGCTGCGCCCTCTCTGGCGCCGGAGTCCCCACGCTGCCAGGGGTCCCCTATGAGCCTCCTCCATCCCCTAATAGCCTCACCCAAGCCACCAGTGTTAGTCAATAATCAAAAAGGAAAAATAATAACTGCCACCAGTCACTATGATCAAGCAAAGCAGCAGGTCAGTTTACATTCGCAGGCTTCATGCTTCAGCTCCCGAGTGTTGGCTACACTTCTTGCTGTGGTGCGGCTGCCATCTCTCCACCGCTTCGTAGTTCCCGCCTTTGGACCACTCACCCAGCTTCTCTGTGGAGCTCTTGAACTCAGAGACACTCCTTCCCCTTCAGCTGCTGTCCCCCTTACTGCCACTCTGTCCCGGGTTTTTATAGTCCTGCCTCTTCTGGTCAGCTGACTAGCTGGCCAGGTTCAGCATTTAACCCTTTCCTTACCAGCACTCCATGCCCAGAAAGTTCTGGCCTTAAAGGGGCAGACCTGCTTTCTGGTGACAGGGTTAGGGTTCCCTGTTACAGAGGCACTTGGCTACCACTGTGATGGAGCAAGGTAAGAACTGAAATGCAGTAGACAAAGGGACTGGGTGACTCTTGAAGTAGTTCATCCTGAATGGCAAGGAGGGTTTTTAGACCATTGCAACTATAGCCAAGCTTGGCATTTTTTATGGCCTAGGTGAGCCTGCAGGAATGTGGCCAAACAATAGAACTGAAACCACCCTGGGGCCCCTATAAACCCCAGATAATATTTTAACAGAAGGTTTAAAGTAAATAAAGTAAATAAAGTAAATAATATGATGGGTGAGCAAATAATAATAAATACCTCCCCCCAAGTCGAGTATGATCCATCCACCACCACCCTCTGAGTGCGACCCTTCAGACAATCTGCAATCCATCTGACTGTGTAGGCATCTATGCCACAGTCGCCTAGTTTATTAATTAGGATGGGGTGAGAGACGGTGTCAAAGGCCTTGCTGAAGTCCAGAAAGACTACATCCACCACGACACCTGCGTCCATGGCCTTTGTGACCTGATCATAAAAGGCAATCAGGTTGGTCTGACATGATCTCCCCCTAATAAATCCATGCTGATTGCCCCTGAGCATCATCTCGGATGCCGGCCCATCACAAATGTGCTCCTTGATGATCTTCTCAAAGAGTTTCCCCAGGATTGAGGTAAGACTGACGGGCCTATAGTTGCCTTAGGGAAATCCTCTCACAGTGCAGAGCTGGCTGGCACCTGCCCTAGAAGGGACACTTCCAGGACAGCCTTGGGCTGCTTGGGGAAATCCTTGCACAGGCAGGAGCTGGCTGGGACCTGCCCCAGAAGTGAGACCATTCCTGGTCAGCCCTGGGCTGTGCAGGGAAGTAAGGAGCTCCCGAGTCCTGATACTGCTTGGCTCCCAGCTCATATGGTGAACTGGGAACGGAACAGTGCTGGGACAGTGAGGGGCAGAGAGCTACCCTATCCTGGCGCTGCTCAGCTCCCAGGTCCTGAAGAGAGCTGGGAGCTGAGTAGCACCAGGACTGGGGGAGTTCCCCATCCCCTGTTGCCCCCTAGTGCTGGGGCTGACCAGGAATGAATTTGCTCTTGGTCAGCATCTGCACATGCCCTACTGCACAGTATTTAATGTGCAGTTAGTTTACTACCTGCATTTACAGGTAGTAACTAACTGCACAGTAGACTAATTTACTGTGCAGTAAATATGCATGCATTTAGACGGTGATGCTTTACTGCACAGTAGATTAGTCTACTGTTCAGTAAAGTCTCTTGTGTAGACACACTAAGTGGCTTTCTTTCACACCTCTGACTGGCTAGAGTACCAAAATGTACCCTACTTATATTCTCTGTGCATGAGAGTTTACAGTGCCAAGAGAACTGTTCAGAAACCAAGTCAATTGTTTTCTATCTAAGATGCAGACTTCAGCTTTCCTTACATTTTCTTAACTTTTGCAGGGATCATCCATCATCAACAGGAAAACTAAAAGATGCCTTGAAATTTTAAGGGATGAAACAGCATCATATTACACACTTGTGATGAAGGCTTGTACTGGACAAAAGTGGACCATTCAACACACAGTTAAGGACTGGGGCAGGAAAGATGCTCTCAGATAGCCACAAAAAAGTCAGAATGCAAAGTATGGACTTGACAGTGTGTCTACAGGAGGAAGCTAACATGCAGGCAGGTAGGCTGTGGAGTCATAGTGCACTCACTATTGCCACACCAGGTCCTCATGTGGGCATTCTTAGTGCATCCTCTGACCATCACACTTTAACCATAAAGCCACAGGTCAGGTATTATCTTATCCTCTGTCCATGCCTCTCTTGTGCCTTTCTGGAAGCCTGGAGCTACCACCAAGAAACTAGTCCCACCCACCACTCCCTGCATACAGTAAATATATCAGAAGAATTTTAACAATGCCTTCACCCAACAGTTAGCCAGTTTAGGCAGCTTAGAGGAGGACTGAGCACATACCCTCTCCCATGATGGTGAGAAGTTGAGATATAGGGACATGTGCTCAGGACTGCTTTAAGCCTTCAGTACTGCCCTACTTCTGGGTTTGGGGTGGTGTGGAGCAGGATTGAGTGGGTTGGACTTGTTTCTCAGCAGTGGTCCCATGCTTGGCAAAGAGACACTACTAGAGACATAGCCTTAATGTGAGGCACTTGACTCCAGAGATCGATTTGCTGTGTGTTGTTTCCTACCTCTTATGGTTATGGTGATGAGAAAATGTTTTGTTCAAATAAAAAATATCCACACTCCTTCACTTCTAGTACAACAGGGCTTATGTCTGACCCCATCTACTTGACAGTTTTATTATCCCCATTGTCTAAGATGAGGGGATGCCTTCTGACCTGAGGACAACTAAAACTGGGTCTGTGCAGCACTGCAGGCAAGTTAGTTAGCATAGGAGCAGGCAGGCATTGTCACACAGATCTGCTGACTAGTCCACTTGCCACACCACACAGGAAGCAACTGCACTCCTTTCAGTTTAGAAGGAAGCCTCCACAGAGCAGCATGATGTGTCTGAGGATGCTGGTGCTGGGCAAGGTGAATTTGTCAGGTAGAGTGGCCTCAAGACAAATTGATAGTTTTGGGGAGTGCACTGCTTCTAAGGTTTCATTTTCAGCTTTGGGTTAAGTGGATTGACTCTAGCTCTTACACTAGAGCTCTTACACTAATCACTTTTATTCTCTTTAATCACTTGTCTCTTACACTAATCACTTTTATTACCTGTAATTTTTTTGCCAGTGTAAACACCTATAGAATCACAATGTAGAGACCGTCAATTTGATGTCGTTCCATGGTCAGTACAATGTAACATGCTTGTTTTTTATTTAATATGAAATGCATTCTTAGTCAGCTTTGACTTGAACCTAATCTACATTTATGCACAAGTGGGGTTGTGTCTTTGTGCCTCCAAATATCTCAGGGAAACTTTATGTGAACAATTTGGCTCTGTCTGAATATTCAGGAGCAGAAATGGAAGTGTCTACTTTTCAGGTACCAGATTCAACACAGGAAGATCTGACCCATTGTGTTCTTCTCTGGAAAGAAGTTTTTAAAATAGTACATTTGAACGCAGACAGAAGGTCAAATCCACTGATTTTAATGACAAAAAATGTTTACTGTTCTTGGTCAGCCAGAAGCTAAGGCAGCACAGAAAAGGGCAGCTGCTTTCTCATTATTCTTTTCTATCAAAATAATTGTTTACTGAAGTCCAAAGACTTACCTTTTGCTGCCAACCTGTAGAGGACTATGATATTGCATCACAAGGAACCTAATTTGGCCTGCAGAATCTTCTTTACTGGTGACTTCAGTTGAGAGGAACATTTTCATTGAAGCAGCTTTCTATCATAAATTGTCATTTTTGACAGAACCAAAATGGTTCATAAGATGGTATCAATTTTGGTTTAGAAGAAGAATGGAAGATGTATTAACAGGATAAAAAATGATTTTAAAGTTTTAATTTTCCATTTTAAAACAGCTTTGTTTCAAAGTTTACTTAATATAAAAAGTGCCAATGGTAAAAACTGAAATGAAATGTTTCTAATGCATTAAAATGAATTTAAAAAAAAATTATATTAAAAAAATGGCAAACTTTGGGTTTGGGCCCACTTTGGCATGACCTTTTTTTCAGGGGATGAAAAATTAGTTTTCTGTCTGGTGATAATGGGCAGGAAGACTAGATTAACAGTAGAACTCAGAAGGCAAACATTTTTCTAATGCTTCACTTAAAACATGAGGTTCCTAGTGCCCATAGATCAATGGATCTTTGCCAGAGGAGGGGCCAGCAGCAGAGTTTGGGCATTTATACACGTACTTTTCTGTCCCACGACATGCTGGAGATCCGCAAGCTGTGCTGCACCGCATGCAGTTGTATAAGTGGTAAAATGCATGTCAGCATACAGAAAATGGTGGTGGTATGCTTTTGAGCTAAAGCACCTCCAGTGTGTCTTAGTTCAAAAGCACGCTGCCATCAATTTGTCAGCACTGATGCTCATTTTGCTGCTTTTACAGCTGCATGTATCACGGCACTGGGTGCTTTTCAAAGCAGGCAGAGCTAATAACATTGCTCGGGTCTCATGACTCATGACATGGGACGGAAGCAAACATTTTTTTGGTGATATCTTTTCTTGGACCAATTGTATGGTTGAGAAGAGATTAGACAAGCTTTCTGGCACAAAGTGTTCTGCCTCAGGAATTAGTTGCACAGGTAAGTGCTGAATCACTGGACTAGAAGTCATACTTCTTCTTGTACTCTCTGACTCAGTGAAGCTTATATTTCATGCAAAAATGGCACTGTGTCAAAGGAGGGGAGAGAGGATGATTTATCCCAGTTATTTTGTAGCCTGGTGACAATGTACTCTCCTAGGAAATAAGAGATATGGGTTTAAAATCCCTCCAGCTGAGAGAGGCTTAGAGCCCACACCTGCCAAGATGGAGGTAGTTTGTGGCGCATGTAGAAATGGAGCTTTAGGTGTTTACATACTTAGGGTGCCCAAAGCATTTCGTGGAAGTTTAGAAGGTGGCATTCTGCCATCATGTTCCCTTTATTTACCAGTCTGCCAATCTTCGTATGATTTGCAAATTATATGAGGGGTGATTTCACATGCAGTTTCAGAACACTGCTAAAATGTTGAAGAGTGTGAGACCTGGGATTGATCACTGCAGAATGTGTTATAATGATCTATCAGATGCTGATTCTCCATTGTCAACAACTCTGGTACCTATCAGTTCATTAATTCTCACCACATTTCATGTGATTTATTGATTTTTGTATCCTGATAATTTTTGTAATGGGAAACTTCCATGCTACTATGTCAAAAGCCATATAAAAGTCTATTACATCTGGTAAGTTACCTTACCAATTTGTGATCTTAAAAATTGAACTCAGGCAAAAATAGATCTTGTCAAACCACATGATTAGCATGATTATTTCATTGTTTCAAATTCTTTTTTAATTGAATCCCATGTCAGATTTTTCCACCAACAGCCAGTAGTTATTAATTCATCTTTATCTCTCGTAAAGAAGTATGATTAGGATTACCTCTTGTTCAGTAGCATGACACAGGGTGGGCAAGTGGGGCATGTACCCTGGGTGTCACCTAAGGGGAAGGGTGCCAGAAGGATAGGGTGAGGGGACCTCACCCTTGGGGCTACTGCTTGCCTTGCTGCTACCTGTCTCTATGACCCCCTCTACATATTACACCAGGTAATCATGCCTTAAGTAGTAATCCAGCTACACATTCAGCCAATGAATGGCACGATAAAACAAGCAATAAGCTACAAAGTTATTCCACAGAAAATGCCATTAATTAAACGTGTGGTCACATGCTCCTCTGTGGCTGGGAGCCCCAACAACAGTGGGGGTCCCAGCTCCCAGGATGCACAAATCACTGCCAGCCCCACAGCTGACAAAGCTCACAGTGGTGGCACCGTTGTCAACTGCGGGGTTTGCATCAGGGAGAACACTGCCCCCTGCCAACCTCCTTGGCTGTGGGGCTTGCAGCAGGGACAGCATCTTCAGCTTTGGGGCTTGCAGTGGGGTACAGCGAGAAGGATGCTGCCCCACTGTGAGCATACAGGGCTCCCAGTGGCAGCAGCATTCTCCCCACCGCCGCCACTATGAAACCCCACACCTCACAGGACTCATAACAGGGGCAGCATTCTCCCTGTTGTCCCTGCTGTGAGCCCCACAGTGATGTGGGCTGTGGGCCTCGCAGCAAGGACAGCACAGGGAATGCTGCCATTGCTTCAAGCCCAGCACCTCCCGAGGCTCATAGTGGGGGCAGCATTCTCCCCATTGTATGCCCCACTGAGATCCCCAAAGCTGAAAATGCTCGCAGTGGAGGCAGCATTCCCAGTGCTGCCCCTGCTGCATCATACATTGGCTGGGGGCTCACAGTGGAGGCAGTGCAGGGAATGCTGTTCCTGCTGTGAGCCCCATCAGCTGGGGGTTTGCAGCCTGGGATTGTGATCCCAGGCTCCCCTGCACTGGCAATTAACGCTCAATGGGCTCTAATGCACAATCCCACAATCATGCCTCTTACCATCTGTGTGTGGCACAGCAAGAGGTGCAATTGTGTGGATTGTGCATTAGATCCCATTGTGCCCTTATATGCATATGTAGAGGGGCCCTATGGCACACATTGCTGGCACAGAGAGTGTGTCTCACAGAGCTCATTGTGTTCTGGCAATTGCAGTTTTGTAGAGTAGCAGTGGAGGTTGCTGCTGCTGTGGGGAGAATTGACCCTCATTTTTTGCCACCAAATTCAGCACTTTTTTTCTTGCCTTGTGAACACGAGCTTTGGAGGCAAAAAAATAGGTTGAAAGTTTCTCCCCTGGCCGCAGCAAACTCCACTGCCGGTCTTGAGAACCATCGTTCCCAGAATGCTTGCACTCCACTGCCCGGCTCTCTACTTACTGCTGTTCCTGCACCTGGAATCAAGAAGGGGGAGAGAGGGGAAAGGGGAAGGGGGAGAGATGGCTGGCTTGGATGCATTTTTTCCATGCTATGCCTCTGCTCTTGTTGCATGCAATATAGTCTGAGTTAGAAAATTAGCTATCGTTTTCAGATACACTTTGGGGGTTGGACCTGATGACTGTTTAGGTCCCCTCCGACCCTAAGTACTATGATACTATGATACTTATTGATTATCTACAGGTTTTCTGAATCCTCTCATGTATGCCTTTCCATGAACACTACAGTTAGAAAATGGCAGATGCATTTGTTTTAGAAGAAGCTCAATGATAGACTCACATGCATGTGAATGGCAGAGTAGGTCAATGTTTTGCAGATTCGGTGGAGCAGATGACCTCCAGAAATCTTTTGTGTAAATAAAGCTTTGTCCACTTTTTGAAAACATGGGTCCAGGACTCTACAGAAAGCTTGTTTATGGGTTTACCTGCTTGCTACTATTTTGTAGATAACTATGCTTCAAAATTTATCACACATTTTTAGAGCAAATGTGATTTCAGCATATCTGTACTGCAGGAATGACCTGATTCATGGTTCTACCTCAATATTGATGCAAAAATAGTTATTTATGGGTTTATTTCAATAGAGATATTTGCAATTAATTTCACACACATGATGCTTGGAAAATGGCTATTCATATGCTCATGTGTTCGGTTGCTTGTAAAATCAAACGTTGAAGAAATATGCAGGGAACCTTTGCTCTCCTCTCAACCAGTGCCAAACTCCGAAAGTAATACAATACTGATTAAGCTTCTTAACCATAAAAGCTTTGTGCATTTGCATCACTGTATTTACCCAAGTGTATTTACATATGGCATTGGATATAATTTTACACGCATTATTTTTTCTAATCTCTTCTATACTACAGTTTGAAAATATTGTGGTATCATGATTCATGTTTGCTTAGCACATCTGTGAACCACATAGGACATGGTACTCCACCTTATTGTCCCATTGATTAGATAGGAAGTGCCCAGTTCATCTGCTAGCCAGATGCCATGGGTGTGCCCAATCCAGCATGAGGGGT